GGGGGGGAGAATGCAGGGGGAGAAGGTGGGTGGAGAGAGAGAGAGAGAGAGAGGGAGAATGCAGGGGGAGAAGGTTGGTGGATGAGGTGGTGAAAGGAGTTCGCGTAGCCGAGGACGTGCGTGCGTGCGTGGGCCGCTGGTCAATGTCAACGAACATCTATGGTTGCCAATGACAGCTATTGTCTATGCACCTGACTCCCCGGGCTGATGACGTCACTGACACGTCACCAGTACGTCATCGCCTGCCGTAATTACGGCGTAGACACGTGACAAAGCCATATTGAGCGTTGTATTAACGTTAAGCGGTTTAGTTGAGAGACCGCGCGCCGTATTGATTGTTTCTTGTCAACTAGGATAATCGGTCGAGGTAAAACAGGACGGGAATGAGTAAAAGGGTGACGAGGAATAGGAGGAGGTAGTGGAGACCGATGAGGATGAGAAGGGAGACACTCTCTCTCTCTCTCTCTCTCTCTGCCTTCTCTCTCTCTCTATCTATCTATCTATCTATCTATCTATATATATATATATTTATCTATCTATCTATCTATTTATCGATCTATCTATCTGTCTGTCTATCTATCTATCTATCTATCTATCTATCTATCTATCTATCTATCTATTTATCGATCTATCTATCTGTCTGTATGTCTATCTATCTATCTATCTATCTATCTATCTATCTATCGATCGATCTATCTATCTATTTATCGATCTATCTATCTATCTGTATGTCTATCTATCTATCTATCTATCTATCTATCTATCTATCTATCTATTTATCGATCTATCTATCTGTCTGTCGATATCTATCTATCTATCTTGATTTTCCTTCGCGATTCTTATCTCGCCCCCTCTCTTACATCTCTTCCCTTCTCCCCGTTTCTTCCATCTCCTCTCCCCCTCCCCCTGCTCCCCCTCACCCCTCTTCCACGTCGTAAGTGAGTGCTGGCTTCCTCTCTTGAGTGCTCGTGCGTTCGTGCTGGTAAGAGGAGAACGCAAGTCTGGCAGCCGGCCGGCGTGCATGCTGAGTGCCTCCCTCGCGTACTTGTTCTAGTGGCTCGCCGCTTCGCGTCTGTTTGTTGTTCACAACATTGTCGGTACAGGCCGCAGACGCGTGCTTGTCAACGCGCGCGACGAATCCCGCCAGGGGACGCTGACGTAGGCGTGCTCTGAGCGTTAATGATGTGTCGGGTGTCGTCTAGTTCGTCTAGTGTCGATGACACGGCGTCGGTATAAGTTATATATATATATATATATATAGATATATAGATATATATATATAGATAGATATATAGATATAGATATAGATATAGAGAGAGATATTTATAGTGTCTACGATGTCTATTTATACCCGCGGGGATTGGAGAAGGAAGTTGTAAGAATCCACAAGGCGCTTGCATCGTCCTCTCTCATTAGCTGCTTCCTCTCTTCCCGTCATTCCCCATCCCCTGCCTCCTGCGGAAGCCAGGGCGGGGTTAGTTCGTATGAAATTAATGATGAGTAGTTGTTCGTGAATTTGATTTGCCCGCATGATGAACTGTAGGGCTGGTGCGGACGTGCCGACTTACGCGGGCGACGGTGGTAACATCTGTTTCGATGAGAAGAAGACGACGGTTTTAGCGACAACTGTCACTAACTAATGTGTTATAGCCACACACGCACGCACGCACACACACGCACACATACACACAGTCACACACACACACACACACACACACACACACACACACACACACACACACACACACACACACACACACACACACACGCACACACACACACACACACACACACACACATACACACCAGAACAACAACAACAACAACAACAACAACAACAACAACAACAACAACAACAACAACAACAACAACAACACGCCGCTCTACTTGCCGACTTGCAGAAGCAGTGTATAGACTTCGCCATCAACGCGAAGCCGCTGGCGCGCTACATGCCGCAGGACAAAAGCTCGATCCGCTACCGCATCTGGAAGCTGGTCGTCTCGTCGGTCTTCGAGTGGCCATATAATACACATTACATAGATTACATATTACATTACATATTACATTACTTATTACATATACGCACACAGACACCCACGTACATTTATATAAATCTAAACACATATTCATTCAGAATACAACATAATAGATTTATTGTTCTCCTATCTGCTATATGTTGTTAAAATTGTATTTTTTTAAATATTTTTAAATGTTCTAAGTGAAGGCTTTCTTTTTGTGTCTATTGGTAGTTTATTCCATTGGTTTATTGCCTCCTTAGTGAGCGAGTTGTGTCCATACATATTATTTGTGTCTAATTCTGGATTAAATCCCTATGTCCCAGGTTGGGACACGGCCAACCCAGAAGCCATTTGGCTAATGCCGTGATACATTTTAGAAATAATAATAATAATAATAATGATGATAATAGTGATAATGATAATAATAATAATAATGTGTTATTATGATTACTATACTATAGTTAGGGGTTTAGAGATTTACATATTTCATGATACTAATAAGAATGTAAAAAATCACAACAAAATTAATTGAAATATACACCTAAAACTCGTGACGTATGGTAATTAAATCAATGCTCTGCTGTGTTGTAATAATTACTAATAATTAATATGTAGAAAAACAGACTAACAGTGTGTGATTTATGTCTGCTTTATTTCACTCTATCAGCGATTCTCCCAGCGACCGCGAAGAGAATCAGCTCTACAGCAGAGCATCTTCTGCGTGCTACTGGCCCGCACCAGAGGGCGCTGCTTCCAGCGGCTGAACCAACTCGTCTGCCTGGTGTCCACGCTGCTCTGCGTGCATGTCTACCTGCAGAGCGTGCAGCCAGACTTCCTAGCGATGACCGCAGAGGAATGGCGTGACGACCTACCGAGTCTGCAGCCGTTGTTTATCCTCAGCTGCGTTGTTGTCAGCGCTGCCGTAGCCTTGCTCTTCATGGGAGTGGAAGCCATCTTTGCTAACTTAAGCAGCGGAGCGGGAGATGTTGTTACCTCGGCTTGTGGAAGCACGAAGATGACACGTAGAACACCAGGTGAGATGTCAACCGCCCACGCAGGCTGAATACTAGCGACTAGCAGCATGATTACTGCACAGCCTTGAAATAAACGTGTGATCTTTAAATACAGGTTGTCATTGTTATATTCGTATATGTGGTCGCACATTCCCGTAGGCTACATTATTGTGTTTTAATCATTGTGAACCTTAAGCGAGGGGGGGGGATTAATGGATGTAATCATAGTGATATGTCTTTGTAGATAATTGAGCAATAACATGGTGCGATTTATTTTATACAGGCATGAACAAACCAAGTGACATCTTTTCCCCAACGATCAGCTGCAGACAGCTCTTAGCAAGAGTGGACGTGGTGAACGAAGATGTTAGCACATCAAACAACAATAATAACAAATGCAAGGGGGATGTCATCTCACCTACATCAACACTGATATCCAGACCTTTCTCTCCAGTCAAACTTAGCAAGGTGCTGAGAATCGACAAGCTTACGACGACGCAAAAAACCGACCTTATTGACGTTATTGAAGCGTATCGCCCGACGGGCGTCGTGATGCGACGCAATAAGAAGCTTGAGTGTGTCGATGCGGACACGGCACTCAATGTACTACGCACAGCTACACTCGCGAATACGCCCAACAAACTATGTCACCTGTCTGCTATCGAGCTGCAGCGTTCGGTGATAGCTAGGTACATGACCCGCCTCGTGAAACCTCAAAATTTACTGATTTCGCAATAGCTTATCATAATCCACAGTGAGGATTCATCGTACTAGTACTAAGTGGTAAACTCGCAAATTTGCTTACTCCGGATTAGATCGCAACTTGCCTCTAGCTTGTTTAATCCCGCGAATGCTCCGGCTCCAATGTTATTTAGATTGTTCTTAAATAGTCCCAAGAAAGTAATGCCGTCTGTGTTTTCGAAGGCCCCAGCATCGATGCGGCTGATGTTATTATATCTTAGATCGACAAAGCGGACTTTTCTCAAACCGGAGAAGGTGCCCGCTTCGAGCGCGTGCAGATTATTTTATTTCAGCATCATCGTGTAGAGTTGTCCCATTTCGGCAAAGAGCCCCGGTTTGATGAACCCGCTTTTGTTATGCGACAAGTCCAAGTACTGAAACAGTTTAGGGATGAAATCGGCTTAAGACGGGGCAATGGTGCAGTAGCCACTAAATTTTGAAAGCCACTAATGTTTTGAAATGCGAGTGTGAGATTGCGGTTGGACGAACGATAGAAAAAGCATCACGCGATCGTGGTTAAATAAACACACTGTGAAGTTACTAAGCACTAACACTCCCACGGCAGCTCATGGCGGTTAAATGAATGTGTACCTCTAGTGTTGACAGACCTCCCAGCGCGTTGGGTGCAATGGTAGTGAGTGAGCCGAATTGTAGAAAGAGCCTAAGTAGTTGCCTGAAGGGGGAGAATATTCTTTCAGGCAGCGTGGTGAAGCGATTGTAGCTGAGATCCAGGAATTCTGAAGATGATGATAGAAATTAACATCCGTGTCACATCGAGATTCGCCTGAAATGATTGTCATCTATCTTTACTCTTTCCTTTTTTTCATCAGGACAGAGCTCTCTTGTGTTTTCTAAATCCCTGTTTCAATCAGTGAATACAGTCGCGGGATAGTTGGGGGAACGAGGGTGTCTACCAGTATCCCAGGTAACAAAATATATTCCAATTTCTAGGTAAACAATTACATGTCAATTTCTAGTAAAAAAATATGCCAGTTCCCAGTTAAATAAAATCGCAACCACCCCGCTATGTTAAATCTTAAAATCATCCAAATTTTAAGCATTTATCCGGCATTACCCGGCTACCAGATAATTAAAAATGGCCCAATCCCGCGTCCTCAAAATAACATAAACCGCTCCAGTGCTCTTGAGATTAAAAGGAATTCCTTAAAACCGACTACCGCACTTGCCTCTTTAAGCGGTGACTGCATGCAATGCCGCCGTACGGTCATGGTAACTACACGGAGCGCTTACCGACATGGCTGACCGAGGGGAAGATCACCGACGGCTGCTCGGTCATCCCAAGCGACGTCAGGATCAGCTCTATCAGGCCGCGTATACCCGCGAACGACTGCGCATTCATCGTCGGTCGGCTAGAGGAGCGGATGGTCAGCGAAAATATCTCTAGATCGCTGAACATGCCTGCCGGTATCTCGGTCAGGTCGGCGAAGCCGATGATCTGAAGGCGACTCATCGTCGTGTTCTGCAAGCGGCCAACGATGGCCGTCATCTCTGCCGCCGACATGTGCGAGCCGGAGCAATAGACGCTCACGCTGGCGTTCTCATAGTCGCGGGTGCATTCGCATGGAGAAATTACATCCTTCTCTGGGCAGAAGCTCGCTGCTTGTGCGGCCGCCGTCAGCAGCAACAGGAGCGATGGAAGAAACTGGAGCCACATCTTCGTGTCAGCTAGCATCAGAGTGTCTTAACTCACCTGCGTCTAACTCTGGCAGAGGGGCAGTATTACACATCGCAATATGACGCAGCATCTTTACTAATTATAGCCTTATCGGGTTCCAATAGTCATTGAGTATTTACTGATGATAACAGAGATAGTAATCCGAAATGTCTGTTAACCCTATCGTAAGGAAGCGGTGTATTCTATTAACCATATTATTGTAAGTAATCAGTTTTTCTGTTAACCATAATGTGAGGAATCAATATGATTATTTGGTAAACCTTATTGTGAGCGAATGGGAAGTGACCTAGGGTTCTCGTGAGCTTAAACACTGTCCATATCAGCTCTCACTGTACTCGCTTGCGTTTATAGAATGTCACCTTATAGCGTTTTTAACTGAAGAAAATGCTGTTCTTCTTTTACTGTGAGTGAGTTTAAGGCGTGAGATCAAGCAGCTGCTAAGGCAACATAGCATGAACTAAATCGATGTCCCTAAGAACCAGTGCAGGCATGATTTCCTACAAACCTCTCTATTTCCTTAAAAGTAAGTGCCGAATAATACCGTAAAAAAATATGCATCTCTATCATTTCTTACAAATCATAATCTTCTATCACTTTAATGCCGTATCACTAGCATATGTTTATGAATGTGAACATTTTTCAACCAGACGCTCGTGTCAGTTTATTCATAGTCGAACGTCACGGGCGTGAAATTGAACAGCCTATACACGTAGCAACGATAGATATAGCTTTTCAGCATACTGTGGCGTGAGACCGTCTGCATCTGTGCCATTTTTTTAAATAATGCGTTATAAGTGGCAGTTGGATCTACAGGTGATTCGTTGTTTAGGAGATTATGCATTAGTCTATAAATTATGATATTAGACCGTGGATGTGTGACTTACCATTTAGTTAATCATAAACATTGCGTGCATATCTTACAGTCGTGCGGTTGATGGACTCTTGGGAATATCAATACTCGTTTTAGCATACATACTGTTAAGTGATAGTGGGCATCGTTGGAGGCTATTGGATTTCGTGAACGGTGGTTGAATGAAACCACGGCATTTTTATCACCTGCCTATTCTGTAATATGTCATCAACGTAATTTTTAACCGATCACCGGCATCGAACCCGCACGTTGTTTGTGCTAAGCTCTCGTAGAAATATAATTAGAAAATGTTTGTTATAATTATGTCTTTTTTGATTTCCTATTTACGAAGAGTTTCGTGGGTTGCAAGCCTAAAAGCACATCTGCCGCGTATAATTTTATAATATTATTGTTGGGACGTTATGATATCCGGTGTTCTCTGGGATATGTGGAGATATCTAGGACATCTGGTGTTCAGTGCGAGCGCTTAATATTCAATCTCATATTTAACATTGGTATTCTTATCATTTCCTGCACCATTGCACTATGTTTTCCCCCGTTATTTTGCCGATGTATGTGTCTGGTATTTGAGCAATCAAATTAATCGGAATTTTAGTTTCAATTTAAAATTCCTCGCTCAATAGTCTGCAGTATAAAGTTTAATCCACTACGTGGCAGCACCATCCAATACTTGGTATATTTGTTATAGGCATGCCCTATTCTTTGGTCTTGCTGTCTTAGGCGCTCACTCGTTTTACAGACCATGCAGGCCTATATACCCGTACCGTAACTCGAAATTATTGCACTCAACAGTTGCGGGGGATTTGTCTGTTCAGATTGCACGTCTGAACGACTGCACATGACCGGACAATGACCTCCTAGACAAGAGAACCCTGATAAATGATAACGTGGCGCACTCATCGAATTAAAAAAAATCTAATACCATGAAGATTATACTACCACACCAATGAAAAAATTTCAGGTATGATGTATTGAGGAAATGATATTTCATCATCATACAAAATGGCAATTTTTTCCTGTTCATTAATTCATGCTCGTAAAAATAAGAGTGTATGGCTCACATATTGCCTTATAATAAGGCTTTTCAAATCAGCCGCCCCTATGTAGTTTTTATATTTTCGGAAAGCGGATAAAATGCTCTTCATGTGGAAATATTTTTAATTGCATAGTCAACGTTGGATCGATAACCTCACATCACACAAATAATTGCATGATATTCTAACCACAAGTCCCAATTTTTCTTGTTATTTTTGCCAATAACCATACAAAAGTATCAAATAGTTTTTCTTTAAATGGCCATGTCTATCACACTTATATTATGTATCAGAAATATATTATATTATATATCTGATATATTAACTGGACGGAACAATTTTCAACATAGTTAAATTAGCAAGGTTTAACATACACACAGGTGGGCGATGCACAGAGCGTGTTAATTTCTTGCAGCTGCTATAAATGCAATCTCCTGATGTAAAAGAACCAGAAACCTGATGTTTTCATTTTTATAATGTTCATTATAGTGTGTTGTGTCGTCAGAAACTCACGTCCGCTTATTTACTTACGTCCTACTTGAAATGCTACCACACATACCAATATTCGTATCAAATGTAAGCCCTTGGTAAGTGTAGTGCAAACACTATCATATTTAATATCATATAATATAAATAAAGTAATATAATATAATATTTACATTGATTCCAGATCAGAAAGAAAAATATGTTTTGCAATTGCTTTTCCCGAACCCTACGAACAACAGATAGCTAATAATCTCACATGTATAGACACTGCTCATTATAAGGTATTCGACTGCCATTCAGATTAATTTGGCGTCGTTTTTAGCCTGCTTGGGTAGTTCCAAAACGGTTTAGTGCGGAAATGAACCACAATGACGGTTAAATTCGTCAATTCACTCAAAGCTGTAGTGATTTTAATGCCAAGGCTTTAGATGTATCTTTGCCTCTTTCCAACTGTTCATCGTTACTTTCCCATGATCAACGGCTCGCTATGTGAGTACAGTACTTAGTGATAAAATTGTCCACACCAGGATACATGTGATCTTGCTATCTACATAAAGGTGAAAGCGATCCGTGGAAAGTACTTGAAGAATTCAAGAACACTGTGATCCTTACGGGTTGTTTTCACATAGCCGTCAGTTATGTTGCAATGCAATTTTCGGGAAGATATTTCAGGAATGGTCTAGAACACCACTTGACGAAATAGGCGTAAATACAAGTAACGCCCCTTTAGTCCGGCTGAAGGCGAAGGTACACGTAAGCTCGTCATAGAAGCCTTGCCTGAGACTGATGTGGCAATCATTTGGAGATTGGATTTAAGAACAGTGTAACTATGCGCAAGCGCCTGATTTTTATGACGAAGGTTATGCTGTCGTTAGTCTTGACGAGCGCATCATAACAATCAAGCAATGACGTAGACACCTTGTGAATCAAGGTACTTGATGATTGCTTGTGAGTGCGAGCATGATGTTCGATTGTGTACTAGCTTGCTGTTTGCTGATGTGTTTAGGTTGGCGAACATGGCGTTTCCTTGAGTACTGGCCGTTTGTTTGTGTATACTTGGGTCTTCTAATACGATGATATAATCCTGATTTAAAACAACAGCTATAAGCTGTATCAATTGGTCTTGAAATTCTATAAGCGGCACCTGTACGTATCGATCGAATACCAAACGATCGAATGATTTTTTATTGACTAATCGTCTTTTTGATTACAACGGCATTTATCGTGAAAAGCTATTGCTATGCAAGTGTACCCTCACGCCGTGAAACCTACATTATTACGTGAGCGTGTGTCGCTATATGACAGAACATTTATTGCCTCATTTAAACTAAAGCAATACTTCGCCAGCGCCTGATACACGTAATTATAATAAAGCGAACAATAAAGTGCCTTCGAGACGCGCGCGCGCGTAAATTTCACACTGTCTTCGAGAGATTTCGGAGAGATTCTGACTTCGAGAGGTTTCAAATGTCAGCAAGGCGTCTTGCGGGCGCCGTGCGTGGACGGTGCTTGGCATATACATGGCGTGATTATCCACGCGATGTGTGATTAGCGGAGTCGTTAAAATAGCATAGCGTTTAGAACCCGCGTCGCATCGCCGTGTTACAATGGCTGATTTATGGCGGCAGTGGTCTTTTGAGCGGCTTCCGATGGTGCAATTACGGCGAACCGCGTGTGGGGGCCGCGGTAGTGTGGAGTGAACAGGGCTGCTGCATGCAAGCATACTTTACTTGCGACGCTGCGGCTCAGAGCAGCCGTACTGTGTGAATACTTCTCCGAGAAAGTCGTCGTATACATAAAAAAGGTGTCGTATACATGAAAGTAAACGGCGGTCGCTTCTATTCGTTCTACGGTCACTGACAAAGTAGCAGCAGGCACAAGAGAGAGAGAGAGAAAGAGAGAGAGAGAGAGAGAGAGAGAAGAAGAGAGACGAGAGAGACGAGAAGAAGAGAGAGAGAGAGAGAGAGAGAAGAGAGAGAGAGAGAGAGAGAGAGAGTGGTGGGGAAGAGTGAGAAAGAGCGTGCAGGACAGGGAATACGCAGTGAAAGAGTGAAAGGAAGAATGTGTAACAGCAGAATAAACGTTAGCAGAGAGAAGAGAGAACTTGCGAAACGTTGAGTGCTAGAGACGGAGACTGCAGTAGTGTTTATGGCAGTCGATAACGAGGGCGAACGAGTTCTACTGTCGATTTCCCATAGCGATTCCTATTAGATGTGCTGGAATAGGACCCGTCTTCGTAAGCACTGTCGCTATTAATAATGAGGAGTAACGTGAAGGCGGCGAAGGCATCGTCGCTGCCTCACGGATACGCCACATTGACGTTCATAATGCGTATGATGTTTTGGGGGAATTCGGGTGTAATATGGGGTGCGAAACCAGGCTATTCCACCTTGCAAGACGAGTATATAAGGGTTGATCAGCCTAGCCGTGTCAACTGAGCATCTACCGACAGCATTTAATCAAGACAGCAACGGAATTATTTTCTAAAATCCCCCGTGCATTAATAGTTTCAGTTTCACTCACTTACTTATGCTGAGAGGGTCTATGTCCCCCAGGGTACTACCGGAACGTACCCTGGTACCAGAGCATATAGATCAACGTGATTT